CTACAATACACGGTCACCCCTAGTATAAATCTGTGGCACCATGACAGCCCAGCGGTATGTCCATGACATCCTGAAACTACATGCATTGTCACTCCTGCAATGGCTCCCAGGAGCCATTTTTCAACAAGATAATGCTCGGTCTCATACAGCAAGGTTGTCACAAGACTGTCTTTACAATGTTACTACCCTTCCTTGGCCTGCCCGATCCCCATATATGTCTGCAATTGAGCATATCTGGGATCATTTGGGGCAGCGAGTTGGGCATCCCACGAGTTTCAACGAACTAGGGGCAAAGTTGTAACAAATGTGGAGGGAAATGTCTCAATATATCATACAGAACTTGTATGCATCAATGGCTGATCGTATTGCATCGTGCATTCGCGCTAGAATAGGGTATTAAATCCTCCGCCATTTTTCCTTTTTCTCTGAAATAATTGATCTTTTTCTATGATTTTCTAATGATTTACTTTTATCAAAGTAGTCATTACGCATGTAAAATTTTGTTTCATAACGACGAATCCTTTTCGGTGCGCTAATTCCTTTGTCGAAGAGTGTATTTATAATCATATTATACGAATCCAAATTTTTATTTTATTTGTTAGTATGTCAGAATGTAGTTTGTTTTGTTTCTCTTCAGTAAATTGATAATTATTTTAAATACTTCATTATTTTCTTTTTTTCGATATGCTTGCGCACTCCAAGTGAGGTGCGCCCCATAGTTTGAGAAGCGCTGATATATGCCAATTAAGAAATTTTAACTAAAAAAACTCCCTCTGGTTATTATGTGAATTGATGGTAACTGAAATAATGTGATTTTTTGAAATAATCTTAGTTTAGTTTCTGTCTTTCTTGTAATTGTGCATTTTTTTTTTGTTATTATCGAAGCATTTTACGCAAAAGGAGATTTTTTTTGAAAAGGTAATGTTTCTTCTTTTTTGGCAAACATTTGCATTTAAATAATGTTTTGCTGTAATAATACTCTTAAAACTGTTTTATATGTATATTATAATTCAAACAACACAAAATACTAAAAAAAATATTAATTTAAAGGCATTTTCAAAATTCTGGTTTCGAACGGAGTCAGTAAATCTTATACCACCGATTTAAAATCTGCTTGACCAACGATTAACCGTACTCACACTACGCCAAGTATAAATAATAGTAAAAATAGTAAATAAAGATAGTTAGGACAATAATACGTGCAATAGAGCACGTATGTAATTTTCATTTTAATAATAATTATACGTTTGAATATTTTTTGAATAATAACTATGCACAAAAATGTATTGAATAGTTGCATAACCTGGTTATAATGATGAATAACATGATCAATTCGTATTGTAAAATGTTAGTTCTACTTACATTTATTTTCTTTAATTTGAACTAACTTTTATTTGATTGTTTAAATTACAGAGTAGCTATAGATATTGTTTGGTTTAAAAATCTATTCTCCATATATTTATTGTCTGCGTTCATTTAATAAATCACGTGAATCTAATTTATCTGATTACTTTATTTATTAATATGTAATCGCCTGTTGTTAAAGTTATGCGTGGCATTTTAGTAAGTATTCTAAATGTTGTTGTTTTCAGTAAGCGAAAAAAATTGCTATTGGGTATTAGAAGCTGGTTGAATTTAATATGTGATAAATTCTTTTGTCTTTATTCGAGATAGTATCATTTATCTAGAAATCTTTTCGATCATTTCACTGATTATGGAAAAAAATGTCTTCAATGGATTAAACTCTGGATGCTATTATTCTCACCGAATGACTTGATATTAGCCCTGTCACAAATAAAATACTCTTTATTCTTAAAAAGTTTTCTTACGCCATGCTCAATATCTTAATTATGATTCAGTAAATATTGTAACTCATGTTTTTAATATATGTCGCCTTTAACTTTGATTAGACTTTGTGACAACGTGATTTGGTTTTATATTTCCATCGCACACTTTGAAGCGGCCCGTTGGCTATTGACGATGGACCTTGTTATTTTGAACTTGAGTCAAGTGACAAGGATAACACTTCAATGAAACTCAATTCTCTAAAATTCCACATCACGCCAGAGGAATTTGAACCGTAGTAGATTTAAACTGCATCCCCCTTCTACGCAAGTGATATTTAGGAATACGATGTCTCAAACCATTAAGTGATTACGGTCACAAACTTTGTGGCAAGCTGGTTTGCCACTCGTTAAATGAATTATAATCTCAAGTGTTTCTTATCGTGCGATATGGAAGTTATAGGTCAGTGAAGGGTATTAAGTTATGCATCACTTGTACTTGTATCATTTGAATGTCATTCATAATTACGAATCAGTCTTCAGTAGTAAAACCCATTCTTTATCTTCTCTAGTACGAAGTTAATATTAATTACTAACCAATTTCGAATTATGTCATTGATATTACATTTTCTTTTTAATTATTGCCCAATTAGAATTATTGTAAATCACTTCTACTCTGAATAATTATTCAAGGGTAAGAGAAAAATAAAAGTAGTAATCTTTTTATAAAGTACAAATCATATTTGGATTCAGATTTTTGCTTTTGACTCTACATTTTTCAATTATTAGTAAGACGCATAGATGGTTTTAAATAGAGAAAATGTATGAACAATATCATTATAACTCAAAATCTGGATTAAGAAAAATTTTTAATAAATTTTTGGGTTATTTTTATGTAGTTAGAAGGAAAACGTAATAATCAAAAAATAATAAAATACAGCATTATTTACATCCTTCTACATAAATTATTTTTATTAAAGAAAGGATTCATATCTTAAAAGCTTTTGCTTATTCAAACCGATTAAATATTAATATATTATTCAAGTTTAAAAAACGTATACATACGTAGTATAAAAATTTAATTGGATCATTTATTTTGATCATAAAAACCTTAAAATTCAACGCATACAGGAAATGAATCAGTCAATATTCATTTCAATTTCAATTTATTTAATCAAAAAGTAGAAGCATAAATTAATCATCTGACATAATTTAAAGTCACTAACAAAATTCTGTTTCTGAATACATAATATTATGAATAGAAATCCATAAAATTATTCAGCTAAATTGTATACTTCTATACATTACCATGCTCTCGATGTATATTATAATAGAGTTACAATTTCCTCTTGAAGCTAAATTCTTTTCATCAAAAATTACAGTTGAAAATTTCCTATTTTAACTATTTAAGTTCACTTCATATGTTTTGTGCTTTTCAAGAATTAATGTTTCAAATTTTGTTACCGACGTCTTTGCTACGTTTATTCAAGTGATTAATTTCATGTGATTATTTCTAGAATGTTATTCCCTCCCCCAGACATGAATAATAAATTTATTTGACTTTGCTTACAAAAGCTGTAGTTACAGAACCATGCCGTATTTCGAAAATTTAATTTAGTAAATTAAATTCATTTGTTTAATGTAATAAAATTTCGGTGCTTAGCTTAGGTTTTAATTAATTTTTAGAAAGACCTTAGAATGAGCTGTGTTTATTATTTATCTCCTCCTTCTAAGCAGAATGAGTTACTTTACACATCCATAATGCAATTTGTCTTAATTCATTTTTAAGGTCTTCTTCGAAATGGAAAAACTATTAACATCTAAAACATATATTATTAATAATACTAACTTAAGGTGACTAAATACATTTGGAAACATGATTTTGAAAAGGAGTATAAATGAATAAGTTTTGTAATAATTACTGCCAGTTGAATTCAAGTACAGGGTGTCCCAAAAATAGCGACCAATTTCTACACACATAAATTCCTCACTGGGACTACATAAAAAGTGCCCGAGGAACTGTACCTGTATGATCCCTAGTTAATGAAAAAAATTCGAAAAGCAAGGCATACCGGTGTAAGGAAAAACCGCTCTGTTAAACACATCAACAACAGTAGGGGCAAATATTTATAAAGGAAGTTGTTCAAAGTGTCTGCTGTGCATATCAAGACAGGCTTGAGTGTGCTGAAAAATGGATGCATTCGCACGTGGCACCTTCATAGTGTCCACAGAAGTACAACTATCATGCAGACGATCAACTAAGTCCGTTGATGTCATCACGACGGCGAGAGGCAACAAATTCTTTAGAATATTGCATAGAAAAAATGTATCAAATGGTGTGAAGCCTGGCAATCATGGTTGCCATAGAATTGAAGCTCTACGTCTGGTCCAGTGGCCGGAGTATGCCATGTTTGCCAAACACATACAGAATCACAGAAATGCCCTCGAGCTCCATTAATAGCCATCATGCATCCTCATTCATTCATTATAATTTACAATATTTTTCTAGTAAATTATGGATCGTTCAGGTTCAGTTCTTCAGTAATTTTTTATGCATTCCCAATGAGAAATCTGGCTGCGAAGAATATAGGCTCTGTTTTTGAGATACCCTGTAAATAAAATTGTTTACAATAGGATTAAAATAAAAGTTTACTTAAATGCAATTTTTTGGCAAAAAAATGAAGAAAGAATGCCGTACTTTCAAAATATTCTTTTTTTTCATGAAAAATACTTCTATAATAAAAACAATTTGAATATATATTTTTATACATAGCTCTAATTTATATACAGCCACTGAACTAGGTTTTTTAACCCCTTCTTGAGTGGGCCACTGGCTGAGACTATTCTACAGAGCCTGAACTACACTTTTTGAAAAAATCACATTATTTTCAGAGTTATTAGCAATTGAAATAATTACCGAAGGTTTTTTTTTTTTGTTAAAATTTACTTTCTAATATTATTCTTTTTTGCTAATATTAGTTCACTCTCTCCCTATATACTATAGATATAAATCTTGTTCAAATTTCATTTGCTAATAAAATACTTTTTTTCCATCCACTCAAGTTCAAATATTTTTTTTAAAAACTTGTAGTGGAGGACACTTGACGTTACTACAGTTTTTTTCAAATATTAACTCATTAATTTATTCATAAATAAATAGTAACAAACGAATATAAATGACCAACCCCATACATAGAAAAGAAAATCGCTCGGTTTGTCCCTGTAGCGCGCGCGTTGGACTTCTAATCCAAAGGTCGTGGGCTCGAATCCCACCTGGGATGACCTAATTTCTGAGAATGTGTTTCTTTTTTACCGCATTGTTTTACTAGAATCAATAAATTTAATTAATGAATAAATAGTAACAAACAAGCAAAAGATTGTCAAACACCCTTTATAGAAAAGAAAATGGAAAATCGCTTTCTATTTTGTCACTTAATACTGTGATTCTGCCATATGGATATACATGTTCATATTAACTGGAACAATTTAATAAAAAGTAACTAAAATAAAATTTTTCTTTGTTGACTTACTAAGGAATTGACTTAAAAAAGTTTTTTATGTATATATTACTTGTGTTTTTACTCATTTCTGCAAAAAAAGTCAATTTAAAACATTTTCTTTTAACAATATTCTTTAAACAGTTTTATATGTATATTCTTAAGCAACTGCACTAAATATAATGCACATATATGTATGAAAAAATTATCCGTTTATACATTTTAACGGTTCCATACTTATATATAGTCACATTAAAAATGTTGCCAACTTATAAATATTTAATGTAATGTAGACATACCAGTAATAAAAAAAATAACACCAAGACAAAATATTTCATTGCAATAAACACTTTAACATTTGAATGACAGTATATATATATAAATACATAATACTGTAAGTGCACACAGACTCAAATGTTTTACTATGGATTATTGCTGTGTTTTAGCTTTTATAAATGATAAAAAATTCACTCTTCCCGTCTATTAATCATCTAATTCCATTTAAGTCCATAAGCACAAGACCAAAAACCAACACGATAAGATGCCACTTTTTTCCAATATCCTTTATCTCTATTTGCAGCTAACAGAAGCACGTGAGATTCCTTCAAATCCATCATTCGAACAAAAGAATGGAGAACCCCAGACACGAATACACATCGACATTGATGAAACCCAAAAACATCGAGTTTATTAAAAGAAACCACCTGACCAAACAGATGATTTTCGCGGTTAATCCATCTGTGTTGCAGATAGACACGTTTCCCATTCTCTGGGACATAGAGACACCCTGAAAAGGGTATTTGATGGATAAAAAAATACTTATATTTCAGAGTTTTCTTTGATAGAGTGTTCTAAAATTGTTTTTAAGTAGTTCATGTATCTAAAAAAAGGATTTGAAGGCAAATGTTTTTATAGAGAGCAGTATAACAATTGTGTTAAGCCTAAACTTAACGTTCTGTTTTGAGTGGTAGAAGAAAGGATGAAGATATTTGTACTTAAAAGCTCATTCCTTGAAATGATGTCCTCTAAAAACTATCTTTAAGAGGCTTGTGCGTCTAAAAATAGGATTTAGTGAAGAATTTTCGTAGATAGCAACGCATAACGATAGCGAAAAGTCTAATCCTAGCTTTTTGTCTTGTTTCGCAAGAAAATGAATGAAAATATATCCTAATATTTTTCTTTTTATTAGTATGTTCACGATTGATATGCTATTGTTACGCTAAGTCACTTGAGCGATAATGATACTTTTAATAGACGGAAAAATAAATTTATAATTCTTCTAACTTGGAGGTGTTTTTGTGTGCTGGAAATTTGTTTGGTTTATTGGAGATAGTTGTTTTAATTAACTATATGCTAGCTCTTCAAGATTCATACAAGCTATATTTTCCTACGTTTATAAGATAGATGGATAAATAGATCTTAGCAGATAATAGTGTATTTACTTTATATTAATTATGTATATATAGTACATGCAGTAGTATAGGCATATTATAGATGAAAGATGGCTGGTCAAAAAATAATAATTCAACCTGCATTACAACTTCTAAAGGCTAAGGTTTGCTATTCTACTACTGTGGCTAATATTTCTTCTCTCTGTTCTGTCTAATTATACTTATGATTATAATTATTTGTATATATTATTATTAGTGTGGATATAAATATATATATACAGAGTATTTTTTCCAGGTATAGAAGTTTAAGTTGGCATTACTTTCCAAGATGGCGACCGATTTAACAGCTGTCAATGATTTATTCTCAGTTTGGTTTGGCAATTCATCATGAATAGACTCACGCCTGAACAACGCTTTCAAATTGTGCAATTTTATTTCGAAAATAATGGTCTAATTTCCATAAGCGAATTTTGTTTAGCGATGAAGCACACTTCTGGTTGAATGACTACGTCAACAAACAAAACTGCCGCATTTGGAGTGAAGCTAATCCACAAGTGTATGTCGAAACACCGTTACATCCAGAAAAACTGACTGTTTGGTGCGCTTTATGGGCTGGCGGAATCCTTCTTCAAAAACAATGAAGGCCACAACGTTACAGTCAATGGTGATCGGTATAGAGCCATGATTACTAACTTTTCATTCCTGAATTGAACAATCATGATGTCCAAGAGCTGTGGTTCCAACAAGACGGCGCAACATGTCACACAGCTCGTGCCACAATCGATTTATAGAAAGACACGTTTGGTGACCGCCTAATTTCACGTTTTGGACCTGTGAATTGGCCTCCGAGATCTTGTGATTTAACACCGCTAGACTATTTTCTGTGGGACTATGTAAAGTCATTGGTCTATGCGGATAAGCCACAAACGCTTGACCATTTGGAAGACAACATTCGCCGTGTTATTGCCGATATACGGCCTCAAATGTTGGAAAAAGTCTTCGAAAATTTGACGTCCAGATTGGACTACATCCGAGCCAGCCGTGGCAGTCCTATGCCAGAAATCATATTTAAAATGTAATGCCACAAGATTATCTTTCGAATAAAAAAACATTCATGCCAATCGAATAATGCATCGTTGTTTTATTGCAATTTAAAGTTCTATACCTCTCAAAAACACCCTTTATATGTATATTTAAAGGAGAAAAGAGACTCCCTCTTTCAGTCACTTAATCACTCTTTACAAAATCTCAGGATCTGTTAGATCTACATACTTGAAATTTGGCAGAAGTTTTCCTTTTATGATTCACTAAGAAGTGGTTTTCCCAAAATCGACATCTAAAAAGGGTTACGAGGGGTTAAGGAGTGATATAGATGAAAAAAAGTTATGTTCTCTTGAAATGTTTGAGCCATATATTTTAAAATTTAATAAGCATTTTTCTTTTGTTGAATAGATAACCGCTTAGAATGAGTATTATGGAAATCGACCACATGGGATGGGGGAGAAAGTTATTGAAGCGTATTGATAAAACAAAGCTCCCGTTTTCAAACTACTAGACCCGCTGTAATGAAATATGGCATGCATGTTTCTTTTGTTGGATGGAAATCTGATAAGAAGAGGTTTTATAGAAGTCAACTTTTAAAAGTGTACGGGATGTATTAATAAAAAATTTCATATTTTTAACTATCAAACGGTTTGAACTTTTAGACCCATTAAAAATGGATTTTGCAGAAATGCACTTAGAAGCAGGGGGGCTATAGGAGCGTAAAAAAATAATTCTCCTTCAATTGTTGAGTGCTAGTTCTCACCTTCTTAACTCCAGAGGTAGGAGCTGTCAAAAGGTTTTGCAATACAATTGAAATACTCAAGGTATCCGACTACGTTCGGAACAGTGATTTTGCAAAAGCGTATAAATGCATAATATTTAAGATATTAGTGTCACTTTGATTAGAAAACGTTTATAAAATTATTTTAAGAATATTTTTACAGTAAAAAATTATTTAAATACAATATTTTGAAAAAAAAATGGACATTGAATGGCCAATTTTCAAAACATTCTTCTTTTATAAGAAATCTAGTAGCTGTGCACGTACTACTAGCTTTTCTAGCTCACTTATGAAAAAATCTAGGCTATGCAGCTAGTTATAATAATGTTTTACCTGTATATAGTTCAGACCCCTATACAGAGGCCGAATTAGAATTTTTAAATATTTAATGTAGAAGTGGGGATTTATCCATATTTTAATACAACAAAGTGGTGAAATTTTAAGGAAAAAACACCGATAATTATTTTAATTGGTTGTAATTCTTAAAATAATGTTACTTTTTTAAAAATAAACATAGTTAAGACTCTCTGCAGAAGTATTTACTTTATAGAAACAAAATATTATTATTATAGAAGCACTTTTTTTATATAAAAAGGTTTTGAAAAAAAAGTTATTCTAAGTTAATTTTTTGCCAAAATATTGTAGTTAAATTATTTTTCTTGTCATTATGTCCTTAAAACAATTTTATGCATACATTCTAATCTAAGGGACACTAAATATCATAAAAATTATCCATTTATGTGCTTTTAAAATAACGGTTCCGAACACAGTCGGATGACTTAATAGTAATTATTTATAGAGCATCAATATATAATCTTAGTTATATAAAATTGAACCAATAATAAATTATCCAAAGAAAATGGAGGATTTTAATAGCATATCTCTTCGATATCACCATATTTCTTGTAAATTTTTACTTTTTCTATTCCTTATAATGACCATATAATTCATAGTTACATCCTAGACGATATAAGAAGTTCTTTACATACTTCTAAATACTCGTTTAAAGAAATACCATGTTTTCTTGAAAAATATAAATATTACATTCTATTTTTCTTCCTTAAGTCTAATACATTATACTCCGAACTAATTTATTACATTAAACAGTACAATGCACAATAATGCAAACACAATGTACAAACTATTAAATTATTTTATTCTATATGAGTGAGTTGTAACTATTATTTTACATTACAAATAATTACGCGTTTTTCATTTTTATTCCTACCAGACATGATACATTTTGTGAATTTGGATACAAAAAAGTATTTTTGTATTTAAGTGGGAATATTTTACTATATATATAAATATATACATCTCATTAAATTATGATATATGATAATAACACAAGAAAAACAAATTTATCTCATATTCTAACATACAGATTTCTAGAAATAAATTGAATTTTATTACGTGCATAAATATGACTTTACCATATTGTAAATAGTTGATAATTATTGGGCTTAATGCAACAAAAGTATTTTGAAAATCATTCTCTTTGGAGTATAATGTTTATCCTATTTAAGTTTTCTGATTAGATTTAGACATTTCCTTTAGAATTTTTACTT